TTTTTGATAATATAAGCTGTGAAACTCGGTTCTCATCTTCTCTACCTTTGTCTATTATCAGACTACTGTTCGTTGTGTGTGGGAGAACGATGCATGGCATGTACACACTTGCGTGAGATGGTCTCCAGGACCCATGCAGATGCAAAAGCGACCTGATATATCCAGGTCCAGCTGTACACGTGGTCAGGTACATTTAAGACAGTCCTCATGTGAGTATGTTCCCTACACAAGAACACAGGAGCCGAATAGCAAAAAAAAAAAGAGAACATTGAGAAGTATAAGGTGTGTTTTCCTACACTGCACATTTGATGACTAGCCCCGCCAGCTTTTACTTTCATTTCCAGTGCAATGTCCCTGAGATGTCGTCATATAACTGCAAGTTCATTTTTCCCTTCTTCTTTTTTCGCAGTTAGAATCAAGCTGCCAGTCCATTTTCCAGTCGCATTTTCTGGGACACCATCGATAGAAGCCGGAAAACGCAGTGGTTATTGGATGACCGATTTGAAGATAGGCAAAATCCAGTCGGGACGAGTCACGACATAGTGTTACACCGGACCGGAAGAACTTCAATAGATTGTTATAGATGTGAATATGCCGCAGTGAGAGTACACTCTAAAACATCTGTATCTATCTTCCCAACAGTGAAAACCAGATACAGCTCTCTCTCTCTCTCTCTCTCTCTCTCTCTCTCTCTCTCTCTCTCTCTCTCTCTCTCTCTCTCTCTCTTTTCATTTGGAACAGCATGAAAATGATGCAGCAATTTTATGCTTAGACAACCCTTACATATATTCTTACCAGAATGGTCGGCACAAATCAACTGATGGAGGGCTGGGCATGTCCATGAACATCGAATTACAGAAAAACGTGAGACGCCGCCGAGCTTCCAGATTCTCTGGCATTTCAAATACTGACTCCTTGATGGTCAGAAGATTGTAAAACCGGAGGAGCTGTCCACACAAGCAAACAGGACAACACGTCAGAGGTCTCCAAAGGCCAAAGGTCCCGTTTTCCATTCGCTGTGTGCTGACACACAGAACAGAGCCTTCTGCAGTTTTGCAACACACGGGGTCCTATGTTTTCGAATAAAATCCACAGCATTCCAGTCAATATTAGTGATTCCAGATATTACAACTGCAACGAACCAAGCACATTGTAGCCAAGGTAGAATATTAACAAGCCCAAAGCAGCGTTCACACAGCATGGCTTTACCGCAATCATGGAAAGGAAAGAAAGGGTGGTAGTATGAAGGTAAGTGTATTTGGAGGAAAAGAATAGTCTCCCGACAGAAAAGCATGGAAGAGGGGAAATAAGATTACGCATAGATACAGCAGGTTGGCACCGGACAAGAGAGGGAGCCTACCCTCACAGACAGTCCCCGGCAAAGTGGCCAGGAACTCAGCTCAAATCAACTCGTCACCTCTTGTGGCTATGGCGTCTGAGTGCCAGTCTGAAGATCCCTCCCGAACACTGTATTCACCATCAGACACATGTTATGATTCTGGTTGTTCGTTGCCTGAAGGTATGCCCATACATACACAGAAGGAAGGGGAGAGGATAGGAGTATCACACCGCACAGGGAGAGATAAACACAGCGGAAGACTTGACCATGCGATATGACAGGGTACACTGAAAGTGCAATTCACTCCACTCAATCCTCACAACCAGTCATAGAGAAAAGCCGAGCAGATCACATCCAGGAACCAATGAAACGATGATAGTCTAAACACAGTATCACCCTGTTTATTAAACTCAGAGTCTCGACTTGTCAGGATAACTTCAGTACCACAGTGCGCTGCTCAGAAATGAGCAGCGCTTCACTCCCCAACCCTGATTAGCACCCGTAACACCCCCTGAGTCCCTGAAACATCAAGCGCCACCCAGATACAGCCTACTAAGGGCAGCGCCACCCTGAAACAGGCCTCTGAGGCCAAGCGCCACTCAGAGGATGAAGAAGAAGACCAGCGCCACAGTATCTGATGATGACGAAGTGTCGGAAGACTTCCCGGGTGGAAGTCCGCAGCAGCGCCACCAAACCCTGACAATATGACCTCTGAGAAGAAGAGGCTGCAGCTATGGCTGCAGCGCAAACCCCCTGGGACCCCACTCCAGAGGAGGGTCCAGCAAGGCACCAATCTCTCTCGCCTCCAGCAGACCTCGATAACCCAGACCTCTGTCAGCCCCGACGTGCTGGCAGAGTACAGCGCAGGTCCCAGCTATGGCCTGCACTCCGAAGGTCTGGCTATGCCTGTCTCCTTCCACGCTGAGCCGTCAGCACTTCCGGTTCACGCGTAGCGCAGCAGCGATGTACTCGGTACCAACTGCCAAAAACCCTGAACCGATGTGCCCAATCTATCTATAGACCACATCTAGCCTAGACTCGACCTAGACCGGACTGACTGACCGACCGGTACCGTTTCTGTTTCTGCGTCTCGGCCTCTACCGAACCCGGCTATAGACGATAGTACCATCTATTCAGAATAGGCCTTTAGGGCCTGTCCGTCCTAGGGGGAGGCCGGGCCTGCTATCCGCAGTTAGGTAGCTGTAGGGAATTCTGTTAGTACCGGGCCTGTATTTTCCCGGATTTGCAGATATGTCCCTCACGAATTTCCCTCACAGGTAGGTCTCTCGGTTAGCCCTCAGCCAAACAAAATTACGAATCTGTCCTACCTATAGTACAGCCTCGACAGAGAGAGGCTACAGGCGACCAGAAAACAGCAAGTCATTGCACA